TTTATTTGATTTGCAAAATAACTTCAGATAGGTTGTAGGTTCAATTTAGCATGGTTTAATTTTTTTCCATTAGTTTAAAAGACAAGCAAATATGTTATTAAAAAAATCAAATCATGTCAGTGATATTAGTAATCAAATTTAAAATTCAGCAATTTCAATAATGCTGCACCCACATCTGGGTGTCTAGGATAAAATGTTTACTAAATAAGTCAAATTATCATTTTAGTTTATTTTACAATGATATTTTGAATCATGTAAATTTCAACAACAATATTCAGCAAATCAGAATATACTATATACTTAAATGTTTTTATTTTATATTATTAAAACTGGAAAATAGCATTTTTTTCCCAGATATTTCAAAATTAATTTTTTAACATGTGAGGACTGAAGTCAACCTAATAGCAAATAAAATCTGCAAGCTCACAGAAAAGTTCTTAGCCCCCAAAAGTGGGCATTCCAAAATAAATTTTAATATTTGGTCATTTGGTTAAGATCTTGTTAAACAAACCAGGTTATGAATTTTTCAGCACACCACCATAAATACAATAATCAAAGTAGCACAAGTGTAGCTCATTTGTCATATATACAAGTACATCTTTGTATTCAACAATATATCTTTGTATTTAACACTAACTACCAAAGTATTCAAACGCTCAAAATCTAAAATAATTATTTTGAAAGAGCATCAATACTTCATGTAATCAACCATGCTACCTACTGTCAGCAAGATTGCTAGTAAATAAAATGGCACTGTGAAAACTGCATTATAATTTGAAAAATTCAAAAAATGTTTCAATTTTGAGGGTTTTCTGGATGAAATAACAGAGGCAGAGCACCAGATAACTTATTTTAGCAACAATAAATGGAAAATTTATTTACTTTTGATTAATAAAACTTCTTTGAGGGGGAATGGGGTACTAAAATATTATTGAAACGTGACCAAATGACAAAACATCAGAATTTTGGGGAAGAGCTGCTGGGTTCAAGCTGAAAACTTTTTGGCACCCACTTGAGTTTGGATCCCCCCACCCCAGTTTTATTGCAGACATTATTTAAGTATAAAAATCAACAGTAATGGGTCATAATAACAGGCATTAAAATGAAGTCTGTTTGATGCTGATAAGGTTAATGAAAATTTATACTAACAAAAATTAAAATCTACCTCAATGAATTTTAAAGGGGAATTGTAAACCTCAATTGAGTATTGCTCTTTAATACTTTGTTCTACTTTCAAACTTTAACACACTCTCTCTCTCTCTTTACTACTGAACTGTCTCCATAATTATTCAGTTGCTAACTGCTAGATGTGGTACCTTACAATTGTATGAGTGCAAAAGATGGCTTACAAATGTTACAATGACATTTTATGCAATTGGAGACTAAAATATTTTGGCAGCATCTGTTTTACTCTGATATCGTTAGAAATTTTGAATTATCTGCAATAATAGATTTTATTTGTAGTGGAAGACATAAGCTTAAAAAGAATGTTATACATTCATAGAAAGCTCTTTTATTCCATAATAGTAGCAGGGGTTAACCCTGCTGAATAGTTACAATTGTACTTGCTTCTTACAAACTGGGTATATAATGTTTGCTCCAGGTTTCACAAGCACAGAGATGATGACCACTTTAAATTTGTAATTTTAAATAGAATGCATGACTCAATCAAGTATCAGTAACTACACTTTGAGCCAATCCAACTGTAAAAACACCTGGGACCAATTTGCATGTTTGAGTATCCAGTATTTATTTACAATTAATGTAATTAAACATTGCCAACAGCTAATAGCAGGTGTACACTGTCTTCTTTCAGGAAATTTGGGATCAGATGAAATACTTTTTAGTCATTAATATGGAACTTCTCTCGCTTCACAAATAAACACAGATCCTTCCCACATCACATGACTGACTGCAAGGGTAAATAACTTATGAGCTTTCTTGAGTCACCATTTTGCAAAAATTATTTCTTAATCAAGCTTAAACAAATTTTGCTTGGTATCTGAAGCTTAGCCTCATTCAAAGGAGAAAATAGATGTTAACCTTGCCTTGTCAATCTCAACATAGAGAAAACCTAAGAAAATATTACCTGTGTACCAATAAATAGCCATTTATCAAACTGACAGAATTCCCCCAAATTCCCTATTTTGTTTATCATTTTAAATCTTATGGAATCAAATAGTAACTCAATTATTTGTAGGTTTAAATCCAAGTTGTACTATATACCAATTATTTTATTCCTTAAACTTTAGTTTCATCACCACTGCTACTGATAATAAAGAACATCTAACAACTAAAAGAAAAAAAATATTTTACAATACACTTTAAGAAAGTATTTTCAACCTACATTTCTCTACAGAAGGTAAAAAAATATTAGTAAACAGTACAAATTAAAGTTGTATATACTGACTGTATATACTATATATTATAAAATGGACTAAATCTGACAATTATTTTAATATATTTTCTGTTTATATGTTATTTTTTTTATATAGATACAAATATTTAAGTAAATGTTCTGTTTATAATAAACAGTATTAACTACATTTACTAGCCTGAATGTCTGAGAAATTTCATAGAAAATATGTGTCCTCTAACAAGAATCGAACCTGTATCCTACACAGAACTATCATATAACCTGAGGTACTAGGTCATTTAGCTACATAGGAAACGTCTGGTTAGCAACGTCAAATTACTGTTTATAAACAATAAATTTCCCACAATAAACTAAAACCCATATAAACTAAATAAATTAACTAGTACAAAGTAACCAAAAAAGTTCTGTCAGTTTTTTGATTAGTCATTGAATGAAGTTGAAATATATACGAAATGCGTGTAACAATTGTTTTCAAATTCGGACAGACGGAAGTAGGAACATCAGACGTTATAAAAAACACCTGCACCGTGCCCGGCCATCAGTTATAAGCCGGACAGCTGTGAGAAGGATGCAAGTGTCTAGAGATCTCGTTCAGGGCTGTTTGCTTTACGACTTCAAAGTGGGCTTATCAGCAGCTGCATCAAGTCACCGCATATGTCAAGCGTTTGGGGATAGTGCTGTGGATGGACGTACTGCAAGGCATTGGTTTAAAAAATTCAAGTCAGGAGATTTCACTCTCCATGATGAGCCTCGCAGTGGACGACCACAGGTCTTGAATGATCGAGTCCTGAAGGCAGCCATTGAAGAGGACAGTAGTCTAACGTGTGGTGAACTTGCAAGACAGTTCAACATTTCCGATGAAACAGTTAGACTTCACCTGCACCACCTAGGTAAGATATACAAACTGAGCAAGTGGGTTCCGCAAACGCTGTTGGAGATCCACAAGGAACAACGAGTGGCAGCCTGTGTATCGCTGCTTTCTCGCCACCGTACCGCATCCTTATTCAATCGAGTGCTTACCAGTGATGAAAAGTGGGTTCTGTACGAAACTCCCAAGCGTTCCAGACATTGGTTGCCTCCACAGGATGCTGTCCCTCACACTGCAAGACTGCCTATGCACCCACGCAAGATTATGCTTTGTGTCTGGTGGACAGGTCGTCAAGTGGTTCATTATGAACTGCTACCAATGGGCCAAACGGTCACTAGAGACCTATACTCGCAGCAATTGAAACGTGTGCAACAGACATTGTGCCAGAAGGAGCCAGCAGTGGTGAACCGCAAAAGTGTGCTTTTCCTCCATGACAACGCCAGGCCGCATGTCGCGCGATTGGTCAGGGATACCATACAGCAACTTGGGTGGGAGACTGTGCCATCCACCTTATTCACCTGACCTTGCGCCATCTGATTACCACCTCTTCCACTCCCTGGATAACCATCTTCGTGGGAAATCCTTCACCAATGAAGCAGACTTGCGCAAAGCCCTCACAGACTTCTTTGCGTCAAACACCACCCCCGGTTTTACCGCAAGGGCATCAAACAGCTGGAGACACGTTGGCAGAAGGTGCTGGATGCCGATTACTTCAAAGACTAAATATAAGTTACACATACTGTGAAACGTTTTCTTTTTTTTCTTTAAAAACGGACAGAACTTTTTTGGTTACCTTGTATAATTACTACAAGTTACAATTATATTTACTGCACTGATAATTGAATTTTCAAATACAATTGATCAAAAGTAATGATTGGAGTCTATTGTTTTATGAAAATAGAATAATAAATTAATCTTTGTCTTCCACAAAAGAAGTATTATTTTAAATTAAATGTAAAGATATCTAGAAATATAATGAATAGAAAGAAAATTATAAAGCAAATTTCAACTTTCTGATTCAGTCTGAGTGTGATAAAGAATAGTAAAACAATTTGTCAATATAAACACTTTCACTGTTCAAGTATCTATTAGGAGAAAAATATTGCAATTCATTGATTTCTTTAGACACACAATCATCATCATAATTTTTCATGCCATATTTCAAATTACAATTGATCATTTTCAGGCATTAACTTATCAAGTTTATTAAAGACATGTACACACATCTTACTTAATGTGTACACATGTCTTTAATATACTTAATGATAAATTAATGCTTGAAAATTACCAGTTATAAATTTAAAATAAGTTTGTTTTTTTTTTTATTTATATAATGAACTAACCAGCAAATATGAATTTTTCCCCCATAGAAGTTAGTTATTTAACAATCTATTTTAAATAGATAATTTAATATGTAAAAAACTATCCTTTTGTAATCTTTATAAATTGGCTGGCAAGATATTCCTGTGCTCAATCACAGAGACTAATATAAAAATGCTAGGAAATTATTGAATTACTGAATAGAGCTTTGAAAAAGAGAACAAAAACAAGTGTAAATACATAATTAGAAAAAAAAAGTAAAGAAAAGAAAAAAAAGAAGAGAAAAGATCTATTTTTTTTATCAATTTCTTCACTTACTTTCCCTCTATCTGTTTGTGAGGGAGAGGTAATTCTACTAAAGAATAACCAAGTGCCCTACTGACCTATGTATAATACTGTCAGTGTGGACAGACAAAGGAATGAGTAAGCACTTACACATTCTTATTTGCTAATGCTTGTGTCTTTGTTATTGTAGAAGTAGATGTGGAGGGGGTGTCCATAAGTGTGGATTCTGTCTTAGGAGGTCGGCCTCTCCGTCTCGGCTGTGGAGATGATGAAGATGATGATGACGATGATGGCGGCTCACTTGTCCTCGGACTAGCTGACCTGCCAAGTGGAACAAGTACACATCAAGTGCAACAATTTCTCCACATTTGCTGCTAAGAGCAGCTGTGTTTACCACAGGGGGGGACACACAGATGGTGGCAAGAGGCACACAGGAAGAGAAAACATCAAGAAAAAGATAAACTGGCTTTGTGAACACAGTGAGAAATACAAGAGTAAAACTAAGGAATCCTCATCCAGCCTTAATATAGAGAATTAGACATTTCTCTATATATTTCTAAAGCCTAATTCTTGCATCTCACTTTGTCCAACAAAGCTAAGAAGCAATAAATAGGAGCCAATGTTTGCGTATAAAGGGAATGTCTGAAAAACCAAAAATCCCAACAGATAAAACAAACAAAATTCATATGCTATTAAAAGACAAACATTGAAATCAAAATGTGTTAAGATTTTCATGAGATATACAAACTGATAACAGAAATAAAGTTAATCCCTAATTAATTTTATTTTGCAAGATTTAAAATGTGCTATTTTTTAAAATAAATTATCCATAGCATATACAATCATTTTACTAGACATGTGTACATTATAATTCTAAACTACAATAGTCAGAGGGAAGCTAAATTACCCTTTCATTCCAAAAGCTAAGTAGAAAAATAAATCCAAAACAAATCCAACTTATTTCACTATAAATTTACAAGATTAATAAATTTCCACTTTAAGCACAAGTTTGTTTTTTTTTTTTTTTAATCAGAATTACATTTGCAACATTTCTGAACCTGGGTGCCAACAATAAACCAACTAAGCATTTTTTCTAGTATCAGAGACACACCTAACCACTCTTCTTCAGAGTTATTTTTTTGCCTAATTGATAGATGGCTATACAAGAAAGGAAGAAGAGGACTATCAGAAAATTTGTTGTAAGGCTCAAATGCTAATGACATTAAGTTTAAAAATATCTTCTCATACATGCTGACTGATATTCATCACATAATCATTGTCAGATTTTCTACTCCAATTATCTTTTTTATTTGAAAATCTTAAAGAAATGTAACTCACCTGGAATCTTTTTCATTTGTTGTTGCCCGTTTCTTTGCTGGAATATTTTCATCTGGAGAACCTGCTGTTCGTTTCCGTGCATTGTCGGATTTACAGCTTGATGAGCTGGACGTCCGACTCTGTGCTGCACGACGATTTGTACCCTTTGTGGAGCCATTTAAGATTTGCTTTGTAGGTGACAATACCTTCAAAGGAGAGTTCTTGGGCGTTTGCCTTTTTGGAGAACGAAAGTCTGTAATTTTTGCCTGTTTACCAGCCACACGCTTAGGTGACTTTGCAGCTGCTTTTGTCAGTTTTATCGGAGTTTTACTCTTCTTGCCTGCTTGTAGAGTTGCTTTCTTAACCAATGCACCTTTTTTTTTCACAGCAGCTGAAGTCTGTCGCATTCCTCGTCCAGTACGGGGTTTCTGTTCACTGGATGACTCTTCTGTAGGTTTCTTCTTTTTTTTCTCATCCTGCGTTGAAGTACTGAAAGAATTTTCAAATAAATTTGTTTTTATAATTAGCAAATGAAAAATTAGCTATTTGAAAATAATTCCAGAATATATACTCATCTTAAAGTGACAATATTTATAGAAATTTTTTTTAACCATAATGAAATAGAAAATTTATCAAAAGAAAAATGCTAAAAGTTATGGCACTAGTAAACTGGCTGTTTTTGCCAAATTTTTGAAATGGGCTCAGCAGTGTGACATGCTAAAGTAATATAGCAGTAGCAGTCAGTGGATGCAGTCAGGATTAAACACAGACTTCAAAATATCTTTTCTGCTCTAATAATCAGAATAAATGATGGAAGAATAGAATCACCAACAATTGGAAAAAAAAAAAGAAAAAAAAAGGTAACCTTGTACCAAATCAAAATCACAATTCAATGTTGCTGCCACTCAGTTCATCAATTAATAGACTCTACAGTATATATTGTACCCCTTCAGGTCTCAGTCCAAGAAAAGTGCTATTATAACTGCACCTCTACCTGACCTGAGAATATTGTCATTGGGTCATAGCAAACTGATGCCGTGTTGCCTGATCAGGTGAATCACATTTACAGCTTTTTAGGCAGACAAAGGTAGAGGCTGCACGAAACTATAGATTCAGCCTGTCAGCAGTGTTGTGCAAACTGGTGGTGACTTTATAATGGTATGGGGTGTGGTGTCTGTTTTGACATGTGTAATATACAGCTATTGTTTCAGAAAATCTGCATCCCATTATGCCTACCATATTTTACAGTGATAATGACCCACCCTCACCATGCATGGGTAACACAAACTGATTTAATGAACTCAGCTGTCTTCCAGGTTGGCTCCCACACTTGCCAAATCTAAACTGAGTTTATTACAAGACATGTGAAAGTTATCACTAAATTCTTTGCAGCCACAGAAACAGCTCTAGGAAACAAACAAATATACACACAATTAATCCAGTGCCACAGGTTCCATGACATATTGTGTATTCAACATTATATAAATGAAAGGTGTTACACAATATTTGGTAGAGCAAAATGTTAAATCTGATAAAACTAACATTTCCTGATTTTCCAATCACAGAAGCAAATTTAAAGAATGTGATCACTCAATAGAAAATGATATTTGTAATAGAGTTGCATTTTTATTAAAATTTAGCTTCATAAAATGCTATCAACCTTTGAGCTATTAGGATAAAATTGCAGGTGTCTTAAAATAAGCATTTTCAATACCTTTCCTTGGCTTCATTTTCTTTCTCTTTTTTCTTTTTTGGCTCTCTAGGGCAAGTAGGGTTGGGATTCACAACTGGTTTTGGAGACGTTACAATGATTTCTGTAGTTGTAATTGGCACAGGTGGTTTGGCAGGAACTGGTCGATCAGATGCATTCATTAGAGTGGTGGATGTTACCTTTTTCTGAAATAAAGTAAAGACATAAAAAATAAAATTATGTATGATTTACATGTACAAAATGTAAGTAATTATAGTAAATCTCTCTGAAATAAATATCTATTCCCACCCCCAATCAATTTTAATAAAAATTAACTTTTAATAGCTCAAGTAATGACACAGAAATTTTCAATATAAACTATAATATTTATACAGTAAATGAAAGGAGATAAATTAAAACAAGAAATGCATTTTTTCTTACCTTGCCTGTATCAAAAATGAAATCTTTGGGGAGGTATAACTTGGTATTACTGTAACTCTGTTATAAAAAATAATTTTTTTTTTTTTTTAAAAAGCATTAAATGCTTATCTCCAAAACAGATATTTTTAATAATAAATTCAGATAATTCATTAAAAAAAAAAAAAAAAAAAAAAAAAAAATACTTTGCATACTTACATGATCAGGTTTAGTAAACAATTTAATAGGCAACACAGGTTCCATGTGAGTGTCTTTGAGAACAACATTGGACACCTTCGTCATCATCAAACCAAGAGCAATGTCACAAACAGCATACATTTTCTGAAATTTACCAAATAATCTTAAAGTAAATGGTACTAATACAAAAACTTATCACCATTACAAGTTTTTGTTGGATAACAAAAAAAAAGAAAAAGAAATTTAAGACATTTCTTTTATTGGACAACTTTTAAGCATGGCATGGTGGCAGGAATGAATAGAATTTTAAAATATGTTAATGATTTTTATTTGTAATAAAAAAAAAAACAACAAAAAAAAAAACAAAAAACAAACAACAACACACACCATGAAATACTTATTGAATATTCACTCTAATACACTTTTTTTTATCTTAAAAGTATATTTTCTTGCATTATTTACATTATTTGAATTGTTATCCTCATCTTCATTGCCATATTCACAAAGTTTTGGCTGTTATATGCTCCGGCCTTCTTCAGATGATTGGAATTTCAAACCAAACCCTTTATTTCATCCACCAGGGTAGATTGTTCTAGTTCCATGTGACATGAAATAAAGGGTTCAGTTCAAAATTCCAATCACCTGAAGAAGACCAGAGCATACAACGGCCAAAACATTGTGAATATGGCAATGAAGATGAGGATAACAGTCTGAATAATCTAAATAATGCAAGTAATTCTAATAATCTCAGACATATAGACAGGTATATTTTTTATAAAATTTTAAAAAAATATACAAATAATTTTAAATAGAGTAAATTAATGCATTTTTATTTGCTTCAATATTTTCAGTAAAAGAAAATAATTAAAAACTTTCAGTAAGTTATACAAGTCTGAACAGAATCAACACCAATAAATTAATTATTTGAAAAGGAAAGTAAACATTTTGTTTAATCTACATAATTTTGTATTTTTAAACTGATTGGTGTTTATTCAAAATGTTTATTTCCATGGAAGAAACTTATATTTCCATTTAGGTAAGTAATACTATTTCTTTCTATTTTTCTTATTTCAAATTTACCTTGAAATTTTATTAAAATAAGGTAATGTTTGCACTTGTCCTTCTCACAAAAAGTTAATATTAATTTTATGCTAGTTTTTCTTTTTTCTTTGTTAATTTGGACAAATTCATGTCCTGATTTTCAAAATTTAAATTAACTAAAAAATATAAATTTACCTCTGATACTCTTTCCTTCTCTGGTAAATAACACTGTGCTATTTTCATTCATATTTATCATGTATGCTAGATCTGTTTTTAAACGTATGCACATTTTGAAATTTCAGGTTCCCATTGAAAAAAAAGGGAATATTTAAAAGGGGGGGAGAGAGAGAGAGAGAGAAAAAAACAGGACCAAAAGGGAGTTTCCAACTTGGAACTATGGGCAAAGATACTGTCAAAAAATATCAAAAAGTGCAGATGAAGCAGAGATATTAGACAGTAACAACAGGATTCTATACATGTTGCCTCTACATCAGATATTTTCCACTAATGTCTTCTAGTGAAGAAACAACCGATGACAGTTTTGAGTCAGGTAGACAGTCTAAGAGAACTTTTAAAAGTCACTAGATATGCCATGGAATTTGTTAAAGTTGCAATACAAAGAGATTACAGAGGAAAATGATTTAATGGAAAACCACTTGGATTTTACCAGAGATGGACATTAGAAGTAGGAATCTCTTACCCAGAGTTATCCCTAACATTGGTGCAACTGGTGCTGTTCTAGCAGAGGATGTTGCCACTGTTTTAGAAGAATTCAACAGTGTAAATTCCATTAAGGCAGTTTTTGTGGACAATACCAGTACAAACACTGCTTTTGAGGCAGGGCTTGTTACAGCTCTGGAGAAAAAACTTAAAAGAAAGTTCACTTCATCAAAATGAACTTTCATTTACAGCTGTTTTTAAGTACATTGATAGAACTACAAAAAGTCTTACTTTTACTGGTCCTCTAGAGAAAATTTGCAGAAATGATTACCAGGATTTGTCCCAGGTAGAAGTTAACACTATCACTGACCCTCTGGATAACTTATATCTGACTGCAGGGGCAAGGGAAAATTTAAGTGGTCACAAGAGACTGCTCTTAGAATATGCAACAGAAATTTCTTGAGGGAAAATGAACCCTAGATTTGCTGCCTGGAAAATTGGGTCTCTAGATCAGGCAAGATAGCTAACTTTAGCCAACGGGTTATTGTTTTTATGGAACGGATGTGTCTATCCACCAGAACTCTATGATAAATTGTATAGCCTTATAAAATTTATGATTAGAATTTATGCAGTTAGTTGGTTTGAGATTAAAAGGATAAAAAATTCTATAACCAACAACTGTATATCTTCAGAAAATAAATCAACAGTCAAATGAAATACAGAATGTTGCATTAAAAAATTTACAGCACAAAAATCTTTTTTGTTTCAGAAGTAGTGAACCACCAAAGAGATTAAAAATAAATACATTCATCAACTCTTAAGTGATACACTGGTCAAATTTGATTAAATTCTCATAAAAACCTGTGCTTACAGGTTTTTCAAATAATGAACTGCAAGAAGTTCTAATGAATGAACACTGGAAATTGCTGAATTTATCTGCACATTTGCAAGGTGTGGAAAGAGCAGTTAAATTAAATACTGAAGCTTCACAAATCATATATGAACAAGAAGCAAAGCACAAACACATTACTAAAAAATCATTATACCATCAAATAAGACCTTCATTTACTTATACTAAACAATTTAGCTATATTATGATACATTGCAGTAGTTTTAGCATGATTTTCAATAAACAATACAAATTTAAAACATTTTGTCTTATAAACATCTGTGGACATTAGGTATTTCGGTACATTTTTTTTCATATCTTTAAATCTAAAATTGGTAAAAGCTATAAATCTAATTTCTAGTGTCATTACTTATCACATCAAAATCCAACTTTTACACTGAGTGCAATGTCGATTTTCTTAAAAAAAAGGGGGAGGGGGTCAATTTGTCCTAATGTTCCAGTTTGTAAAACAATCAATTTTTATCTTTCACAATTTGTTAAAAAAATTGTACATGGGAATACAAACTAGTAGTTTGTTTTGCCTAAATGGAAGCCACATGTTAAAGCAACAAACAAACATAATAGTGCAAATTATTTTCTATGATTGATTTAAATATTTTGAGTATGTTGATAATCTCCTATATTGTATAAAATTGATAATTCTCAAGTAATACTTTGTTAACCTTCAATTTTTACTGATCTACTCAGTTGTGGATCATTGTTTAAGGAGAAATTTCCAACACAAAACACCACAAACTACTTTTGACACATTCAATTATTCACAGTATCTTCTCCATAAGCTGCAACATTTTTAAAATTAAAAAAGGATCAGTGCTGCTTATTTTCTTCGATCTTTAATGTTAGAATATATACCAATTTTACAATTGTTTTTTTTTCAAATATAAACTAAGAGGAGTTGACTCAATATAATAAAAAATTAATGAATAAAACAAGTTAAAATGAAATGATTTAAATGATGCTTTTTTTTAAGCACTTATAATCTCATCTAATAACAAAAACAGGATAAACTCAATAGAAATTAAAAAGAGACTTTCATCAAATCTGAAATAGAAAAGGTCACAAATTTATAAATACAGGTTTATTAGTCACGCCTTACATTCTAAGTATTTGGCAAAGTCAGAATTTCTAAAATTCAATGAAATTAATAAACTTAAAGTGATGTAATGATCATCAATTATTTAATAATACCAAAAGCATAAACAGAGAGTAAAATCAAAATAGCTTTCTTGTATAACATTGTCGTGAATATATAAAATGCAATTTGTCTTAAATGATCATTTCTGCAACTTCTAAACTATTTACAAAATCTTAAAAATTACATATTCTTTAACTGTGTGAATATATACCTTAAGAATAATGTGCTTTTCTGTGCCTGTAATTTGATGATCACATGTATAGAGAAAGGATGCTGAAAAGTTATCAGCCTGGCATGCTTCCCAAAATCCAACCAAATAACAGAACTTTTTCCAAACACTTTCTTTGCTGGATACTGGAAAGTAAACTTTGCTGGATATTGGAAAGTTTAATGCTGCTTTAATCCAAGCGACTAAATAACAAACTGTCAACTTTAAAAGTTCTTTTTCATTTCTACAAGTAGTTTGCCAAATTCACAATTTACTGACTTTTATTTATTTATTTTGCCATGTCTCTTCACAGTGTAAACAAATCACAACTCTCTACAGATTCCTTTTCTGTAGACTGTTATGACTTCTTGAGAATGATTTTCCATTGTGATGTAATGAATATGTATACACCTGGGTTCCCCCTCACAGTAATATGATTGGCTGGTGTCAGCTATAAATACAGACTGATGTGGAGGTACATGGATTACACCTATTGTCTTCACCTATTGCCTACCACTATGACGAGGACCAGTCCATTATGGTTACCTGCTAGATTGTCCTACCCGGTTACAGTAGTCAACAACCACTTTGCTACTTCAAACAAATATATCCCTTTCCGGGACACATCAGTTGGCGACGAGATTCGAAACGACCTCACAAGTTAAAACAAAAAAAAAAATATACAGTTGACAACACTTACTAACGAAGAACGTTAGAAAGATTTGTTTGACGCTTACAGAAAGTAATTTTTCCCTCATTTTTGTTTTAACGCTTATTAACGAGGAATGTTAGAAAAGGAAAAACTTGTGCACCGCTTACGGAAAGTAAGAAATCGCCCCCTCCCGTTTGGACTTAGAAAATTTTATTATCTACATAAATTGAAGCAAAAATTTTTTCTTGTGGATACGTTGGCAGAATGGAACAAATTGTGGAATTAACTAAGGTGCTGTTACAAGTCACTTTACAGCAACAATTCCAACAACAACAAAGGTTTGAAAAGTTATTCAAACAACAGGCAAAAGACAATAAATCACTTTGGGAAGACGTATTATCTAAGACAACAAAGATTCTAGATTTTTTTCTGCGAAAGGAATTTCAAATTCACTCTCTGAATTTAAATACGACCCTGATAGTGGTTCAATATTTCCGGCTTATTTTCATAGGTTTGAAACAATATTTACGAAAAGATGCGAACAATGGCCCAACGAGGAAAAAAAAAAAAAAAAAAAAAAAATCACTATTGTTGCAGAAGTTGGGAACAGAAGAAAATACAAAATATGCAAATTTAATCCTCCCAAAAAAGCCAGATAAATTACATTCAGCGAAACAGTAGAAATTTTGTCGAAAATTTTCGATAAAAGAGATAATCTGTTTCATACACAATACAAGTGTCTAAATATCATCAGACAAGAGGATGATGATTTTGTCATGTATGCAGGTATAGTTAATGCACAGTGTGAGGCGATTAAATTAATGGAAATGTCAAGCGACATGTTCAAGTGTCTAATTCTTGTGCAGGATCTAACGGCACCGAAGGACAAAGGAATTAGATCAAAAATCCTCACTATCATGGAACAGGATATGAAGATTACGCTACAAAAAATAATGGAAGAATGTCAGTGACTTATAAACATAAAAAAAGATAATACTTGGATTGAGGAGAAGAGCATTTTGCGAGTACAAACTGTAAGACAACAGAAGTGGATACAAAATAAAGAAAAATTATATGGAGTTCATGTGGAGGACAGCATATAAAGAAGGATTGTTTCTTTAGGGAGAAAATATGTTTTAATTGTGGACATGTAGGCCATAGAAGTTCCCACTGTCGGGCAAAACAAAGAAAAATAAAAGCAAAGTTTCAAACAAAGGTGAACATAGTTTTGTCTAAAAACGAAATTGAGGAGGGTCAAAGAAGAAAATACCTCAATGTAAAAATAAATGGGCAGACGGTAAAATTATTACTCGATTCAGGAAGTGATATCTTAGTAATAAACGAGCAAACATGGAAAAAAATTGGTTACCCGCCGTTGATTAACAGACAAAATTGCACGGGAAGTGTCAGGAAAAAGACTTAAGTTTAGAGGTGAATTAAAATGTAACATTGCGTTCATGGGAAAAATTCACAAATCGAAAGTGTATGTGCTCCCTGGTTCAATAAACCGCTTTGGTTTAGACTGGATCGTATTGTTTAATTTATGGGAATTACTGGTAAATTCTTTCTGTAACAAAGTTAATGTCATAGAGAACTATAAGACGAAGCAAACAGAAAAAGATTTATTACGGATTTGAAAGGCAAATTCCCTCGCGTTTTTTCAGAAGGACTAGATCTGTGCACAAAAACAAGTAAACTTCGAATTGAAAGAAAATGTTAAACCAATCTTTAAACCAAAGAGAAAAGTACCATTTTCGGCACTAGACACAATAAATGAGAAATTAGAAAGGTTAGAGAAAATTGGCTTAATTTCAAAAGTCAATTATTCAGATTGGGCATCTCCAACCATATATATAAAAAAGAAAAACTGAAAAATCAGGGTGTGTGCTGACTTTTCGACAGGTTTAAATGATTGTGTGAAAGACCATGCGTACCCTCTACTGTTTCCAGAGGATATATTCAGTAAATTGAACGGAGGTAGAGTGTTTTCAAAGTTGGACTTGTCGGAGGCTTACCTTCAGGTTAAAGTCAGTGAAGAATGTTCAAAGTACCTGACAATAAACACGCATAAAGGAATTTATAAACTAAATTGTCTTCTTTTTGGATTGAAGGTAGCTCCAAGCCTATTCCAGCAAATAATGGACACAATATTGGCTGGTACGGAGTATGCAATCACATATTTAGATGATATTTTGATTAAAAGTGAAAACAAGGTTCAACACAAAATGCATATTAGAGTGGTATTTCAGAGAATTGAGGAATATGGGTTCAAGCTGAGTACTGAAAAATGGGAGTTCTTAAAGAAAAGAAAATATTTAGGGCAGATCATTGACAGTAAAGGAAAAAAACTGGATCCAGAAAGGGCTGAGGTTATAAAAAATATGCCAGCACCTGATAATGTGGCAAAACTCCAGGCCTTCTTGAGATTAGTAAGTTACTATAGCATTTATATCCCAAAAATGTATGATATGAGAGCTCTTTTAAATAATTTGGTGAAAAAGGGCGCAAAGTGGATATGGTCGAAAGAATGCGAACAGGCTTTAAAAAAGATAAAAAGCTTTCTATTAAGCAGACCTATCGTTAGCACATTTCGACCTGAAGAGGAAAATCATTGTAGCAGCAGATGCCAGTAATAAGAGACTATATGCGGTATTGCTTCTTAAATTCGAGGATGGATCTACGAAGCCAATAGCACGTGCCTCGAGAACATTACTGCCCGTGGAACGAAGTTACAGTCAAACTGAAAAAGAGAGTTTAGCAATAATCTACGCCGTAAAAAAATTTCAGATTTCTATACGGAAGAGAATTTGTTCTGCAAACAGACCACAAACCGCTGTAAACAATATTTGGTTCAAAAAAGGTATACCAACTCACACGGCAAATTGACTACAGCGTTGGGGTGTAATTCTATTGAATTATAATTTCAAAATAGAATATGTGCCTTCAAAGAAGCTAGGTCACGCCGATGGGTTATCAAGATTGATACCTAAATATACGGAACCACTGGAAGAAACAGTAATAGAGGCACTAAGAGACGAAAGTGAATTGTCGGGTCTGTTATGCAACACTATTAGAGAACTACTGGTTACGGTAGAAGATGTGAAAAAACAGCGGGTGAACAATGATTTCATTAAAAAATGAAAAAAGCAAGTCTGGTTGAACGAGAAAACTAAAAAAGGAATAGTGTCACCTTTTCAATCTCGGGAACAGGTATTATATAAAAAGATAGAGTTGTAATGCCGGTTACTCTGCAAAGAAAATTCTGAAAAGATTTCACACTGGCCATCCAGGGATTTAGAAATAAATCTCTAATGAAGAAACTATACTTATTGGCCGAGGATGGACCAAAGACATAGAAAATTTGGTGAAACAGTGCAGAGGATGTCAAGTGGCAAAGGGATCCACCGGTAAAGATTCAACCATGGCCAAAGACAGATGTCCCATGAACTCGATTGCATATCGACTATGCAAGGCCGATAAATGGATCTTATTATCTAATCATTATAGACAGTTTCACTAAGTGGCCAGAAATTGTTAAGCGTAGACATCCGACTGCAACAAATAAAATAAATGCACTTAATGAAATTTTTAGTCGCTTTGGACTCCCTAAAACTTTAGTCAGCGACAACAGAACGCAGTTTATGGGAAGAGAATTCAAGAAATTCTGTAGATCATTGTCCATTGATCACGTGACAACACCAGTATATCATCCAAGATCAAATGGACAGGCGGAAAAATATGTGGACACCTTAAACGGGTGTTGAAGAAAAACCAAGGCGTGGCCATGAAAGAAGTATTCAGAAATTTTTGGCAGTATATAGAATCACGCCAAACTCGAATACGACGTCAGGGTTATCGCCAGCAGAGTTAATGTTTGCGAAAAAAATACACTTTGTTCAACAGGCTGTTGCCTAGTCCGGCGATGAAAACTGCTAGAACTTTAGGACTGGAAAAACTGCTAGAACTTTAGGGCTGGAAAAATGTATTGGGAAGAAGGAATGATAAACAAAAGAGTTGGACAGGTCATATATGACATAAAAGGGGAAAAATTTTGGTGCAAAAGACATTGGAATCAATTGAAACCCAGATACACTACAGAGGTCACGGAAAATACCGAAGAGATTCCAAAGGAAGTCCTGTATGACACATTTGAAATTCCCATTTCAGTAAGTCAACATTCACCAATGGAGGTATCCTTGACCTCAAGGCCAGAGGTACCAGTGTGCCAAATGCCACCACTGCAAGGAAAATATTGAAGCTAAATTTCACAGGAAAGTTTAGCTCAGGGGCAGGTGATGTAATGAATATGTATACACCTGGGTTCCCCCTCACAGTAATATGATTGGCTGGTGTCAGCCATAAATACAGACTGATGTGGAGGTACATGGACTACACCTCTTGTCTTTGCCTATTGCCTACCACTACGACGAAGACCAGTCCATTACGGTTACCTGCTAGATTGTCCTACCCGGTTACAGTAGTCAACAACCACTTTGCTACTTTGAACAAATATATCCCTTTCCGGGACATATCACATTGTCTCTTCCAGTTTTGAATTCAGAGTCATCCTGATAGAATTATTTTAATGAAAGGAAGGAATGGATATAACTCATATTACTTAACTTACAAAGGTATTTTTTTTCATTTACTTTAATCCAGCTTTTAATTATTAAATTAGATTGCTGATCAATTAGATTTCAATACTGAAATCCAATTATATAGGTCATAAAATATTATAAAACTAGGCTTAGGGCTTATAATAAGGACAATCAAAATGAGGAACCACCAAAACATTTCAATTCAGTTAGATTCTTAGTTATAAACTGGGTCCTTACCTTATTGGTCTCTTCATCATCTGGGCCCTGAGCATCTTTGGTCTGCTTAATATCTTCAATCATCCTTCTGAAGAAGGCATAGTTGTAATCTTCACTTCGACTCATCAACGGATCCATTACAAACCATAAACATCTACAAGGGCAAATGCCATTTATTCTCAACATAAGTAGTCAGCAAGTTTCAAAATAAATTTTTCTAGTAAAGTCTTATGTTTAGTAATTAAAGTACCCTCAAAAATTGAGCTTTTGCTGAGACAAAATGTTAAACAACAACTGAGATCATAATGTAATATTCTAAATTTTGTATCAGGAAAAAAAAAACAAAAACAAATCCTAATATTCTTAAAATCTTTCAGAACCTAATTTATGAACTTCACAATTTCCAAGTTAAATAGTACACAATATCAATATTTTAAATATTAATTTTCTCATAAAATACAGATAAACAATGATATTTCATTTTTAGGTTTTTAAATCATTTGATATATGAGCCTCAAAATATGTAAACATGCATTTTTTATATTCTTCCATTTTAAATCTGTTTTCTCTGTGAGATATTGAATATCAGAAGTTATTTACTACTAATAAAATTAGATTATTGTAAGAGGTATACATCTTGTTGATGTTAATCCAATACCAGAAAAGATAAAAATATTAACTTTTTTTTTCTTTTTTAATTTTATATCTATAAAAATTTTACAGGGATAAAAATAAAACCCAGGTTATTCACAAAATAGTTTAAATGTAATCTTATATTAATTTCTATAGTCCTTAATGTATCTGGAGAATTTTGCTTGGAGAATTAAAAAATTAAAGTAAAAATCTAATCTAATCAAATTAAAAAAAATTTTTTTAATAAATTACTTACTCCTTTATAATATTCAATGCTTGAATGTGGTCAGGAGACTTGAGGTCAGGGTCATGTGCTAAAAGGTGAATAGTGTATGGCAGCATGTAGTCTGGGAGCAGGGAAAATATTTTGGCTGCAACATACAAATAGAACACCAAGCAAACATAAAATACTTCAAGCAACACACAAGTCACAATGAACATTAAATGCCATACAGTAAAACTAATTTGATGTGAGACTAGTGGTTTTGAAATAATTTTATCATGGAATATTTATACACTCTTTTCTCCACAAAACATGAAACCACTGTCTATATTTATGGACAACTGCCACCACCATCATTTTAATAAGGCGGGAATTCCTATATCTGATGCAGTATCAAGTATATTGTAATAGTTTTAGCACTAGCGTATTTAGAAAAGCCAGCTTTACATAAATCTGTTGTTGCAAACAGTAATATAACTTGAAGAGCTCATTTAATAAATCCAGATATTTGTCAAATATATACCAGAAAATTGCTACTGAAGCTCATTCGAAATTAGCCATTAACTTAGTATTTCAACTAATTTCAATTAATTTTTCATAATCTACTGCTACAAATCCTTATGACTTTTAATTTTGATCTGATTTTGTATCCAATAATTACATTTGTTCTTCAAATTTGGAAACTACTCAGATTCTAATCAGTAACAGAGATGATTTTCAGTATCACTGCTGATATCAATCAGTACAGATTTTTGAAGGAAATTGCTAAGAATTAGAAAATGCTCAAAAGTATTTTATTCCATAACTAAGATCCAGTATAGTAATTTATGTAATAATGATACAATTTCATCTTTGGTCTTAAATATTGTAAAATGATATTTTAAAGAAATCATTTTTACAATCTATTTTAAAATATAGCATTTTATGTTGTTTTCGTTCATATCAAACAGTGAAAAGAAGACACACTTTTCATATTTTCCATATATAACCACAAAATATGTCTGCATAAAATGGTATAATTTATATGTTGTTTATCTCAACTTGGCAGGTACCAAAAGCATTAAAAATTGTAGAAATAATTGGACTTTTCCATAGAAAATAATTAAAATATGTTCCAAGTTGGGGTGTTTGTTACCTGCCAACCTTACTCAAAAGTCAAGTGGAGTATTAAATCAGCTTCCATACCAATATGTGAGGAAATCCCATTTAAATTTACCAGTTTCTCACGAAACCGCTTGAGTATGAATAGCAAAAAGAGAAACAAGACTGGATATTACTCATAATGGCAAAAGTATATCCCCATCATTAAAACAGTCATATGATAAGTGAAAGTCATGCACTGGAGAAATTGAAAACAGTAAAATTAACCAAATAATTTATCCTATAGAAAAAAAATTTCTAAGAATAGTTTCAATGATTCAGCTTTAATCTGTAACAAAAAAGGGTTTGTGTCAGAAATGTTTTTTTAAAATTTGACTATTTAAAACCAATGATATTCAGAAAAATGACAGGTCATCAATTTTTTGTTTTTTGGCAAACTCTTGCCTCAAAAAACTAGCAGGTGTTTCATTGTTTTTACCACGACAATTTTAATATAAATTTCATATTCATAAAACTATCTTTTTTTCAAACACGTTAAAAGGGTTTCTGTTAATTTTATGTCCATATTTACTAAAAATAGGTTAAATCAGAAGAAAATCTAAATTTTACCAATCACTTCAATTGATAGAGCTCTATGAAAGTAATGTAAATATATTCCAATAATTTATTTAAAGTAAAAAAAAAAAAAAAAGTCTATATAATCAGTGCTTTTTTAATCTATTTATACAATTTGCTTTAACATTACATTGTTTTTAGATACAAAGAATATACATGAAGGTTTTACAAAATTCTATAAGCTGATTTGAAAATAACTGTTTCTCATGTAATAATCATAACTTTATGCTGTGTCATGTAATTTGAATATTTACCATAAATAAGAAAAAAAAAAAAAAAAAAAAAAAAATATATATATATATATATATATATATATATAGTAATGTTTAAATAAAATAGTAATAGAAAATATAAAAATGTGCTTTAAGATAACATCAAAGTTAGATTTTGTTAAACAAAAGCTAATCATTACTATTACAAATAAGTATGCATAAAACATCACTACCATATTCAGACCTATAAAATAGATAGTATAAAAGATAACTGTATTGTAATTTGAGTACTTACAGCTAGCAGATGCATGCTGTTTGAGGTATTCTCGACGTTTGCTAATATTTGCATAAAGAAACTGTTTAACCTGGCCACGCCGTTCCTTCACAGGATCATTGGCTGCCAAAGAGAAAATACTCATATACTCAAGGGGTAAGCGAAGACTAAGCAATCCCTTGTTTAATTTCATTGCAAACCGAAGTCGAACTTGGTAACAACTATC